CCGTGCAGCTAATTAAGGCAAGGTTTTGTAGGCATGAAGTGCAACGCAAGTATCCAGCAGGTTTTGTCCAAGTGCGGATGTGTGGCTTTTGTGATGATATGCTCCACTTGACGTAGTATAGATTATCATTTTCAAGGGCCATGACATAATCCTGTGGAGGATGCAGAAATGAGACACCTCGACGTGGTGGTGTCCATGTACATTCACCAGTGTTGTGGTTGCAATAGTACCTATCAGCATGTCTTATGGTCAGCAAAGGAAAGCACAACGAAAAAGTAGATTACAGCCGCCTTTCAACAAGATCCGGGATTATCTCTACGTGGTGTCGTAATCTGATGCAGTAGACCCTGTGGGCAAGTATGCTCCGCCACCAACATTGAAGCTTGACGGACAGCAAGCTGTGTTGATTCATATCTTGCCTTTGACGACGGGCTTGAATCTTCCACATCAATCGACCAAGCTCCCTCTTGGACTTGAATTGTTGATACATTCGTGCCAGGACCCTGCTTGCACAATCCTCTTGAACACATCTCCAGGCCTGGTGAGAGATGCTTCTAAGAGAAACGATGGACCGAGGACTCGGGAGTCGGAAGACCAGGGCCCGCTGCCGGCGGATATGGTTGATGGCTTCCAACTTCGTCTCAGCAAGGAAATTTGACTTTGTTATTTCTAACAATATCTTATCATTCATGCGATGCTCAAATACAAGCCGATCTGTTGCAATATTGTGATAGCAAATTACATCTTGTGCAGGGTCAATATACATTCGCCATGGTGACGCGGACAGCCCGTTGAATTGATGGACGACATCTAAGGCCTTCTCCAATTCTTTCAGCCCGACGTATCCATCTTGGTCACTGTCTAATGTACTTATCACAAGACGAACTTGTTCAGGAGACAAATCGATCGGTAGATCTCCAACAAGCGCCCTAAACTCGTTATGAGATAGAAATCCACTTGAATCTTCATCGTATTGTCGAATGAAATGCTCCATGACAATCCCTTTTTGGAATAGTACTGCTTCCATTTTAATGAGCACAATAGACGAAAGGGATTTAAGCTTGACTTCGCGGCCAATGCTTCTCGGAGTCGGTGGCCGATAAAATTCTCGCTTTAATCGTTTGAACTCCTTCAGAACGTGATTTTTCGATATGCGTGAGTCCAACCAGCGGCGTGTTGCCATGGACTGCTCGTGGATGTATTGATGCTCCATGGCATCCCAAGCTGCTTGGAAGCTTGCAGCACGGTCCTCTTTCTCCGTCGAAATTCGCTTTGCTCTTGAATCTTGTTGCACAGCGAGCTTGATTCGGTCATCAGCTGCCCGCGTCGCGTCCCGCCTGCGCTTGCTCCAGGCCAGCGCGTTCAATTTTTCAGA